CCCTCCCACCCCCACCCCCTGCTCAACTTCTCAGCCAACAAAGTACAGTGGAGCAGCCAGGCTCAGCGCTCCTTGCAAAATGATTGGTCAAAGTTTTTCCGACTGCCTGATAAAGCGTCAGCTCCGACATAAATCAATCGGGCGAGGAGGCTGCGCTCTCGCTGTCATCCGTCCGCACCGCATTCCATATCGAGGATGGATTGTTTTATGCTGATGCAATGTGCTATCACGTCAGGGCTCCGGCGGCCACGTAACCTCAGCCTGAGCTGCCGGCTGCCCGGTCCCCCCTCCCGCTGCAGGAAGGGGGGCAGTTCTCGACATGGGGCGGCGGGGGCGGAGGAGAGGCGGAGGGAAGCGGCGGGCTGCCTCGGGAGGGACGCAGGCTGTGGAGCCCTCTCCCCAGGCGGGTCGGGGAGGGAGGGAGAGCAAGGGCGGAGGGAGGGAGAGAGCCCCAGCTCGGGGAGCAGCCACAGAGGCCCGAGACGATACTGGAAGAGGAGGTGGTCCTGTCCCCCCCAACACACACCTCCACCTCCACCCCACAGGCCCTCATTTCCTCTTCTCTGTCCCCTTGACAGAAGATGTTTATTAAACAACAGCAGCAGCAGCAGCAATCCACAGGAGATGAAGTAAAAGGATGAGGGGAAAAGTTGGGGATTTTAGGACGTTGTCCGCTTTGGAGGGGGCTCTCTGTGCACTATTTGTAGAGATTTACATGACTGGGAGCTTCCCTGGACCCCTCAGTAGCTGAGGGAGGAGGAGAGAGGTGAATAGAACGGCTGAGTGTCCAAGAATCCACTATTTGTCCTGAAATTAGAAACTGCTTGAGGTTAAAGGGATCCATCAGGCCCCGGAAACGTGAGCCTAGGAAAGAGTTTAATACAAGGAACCAGAGCGCCTTTACATTTATTGGGCCTTTCTGACTCTGGCCAGAAGGATGGATTTAAGATGGTGGTGGTGAGGTGGGGGCGGCAGGAGGGGGGGGAATTGCCATTTCTCCTTTTCTCCACTGAATAACTGAATAACCACCCAGGCCCCTAAAATTGCCCTGATGAAGGAGCTGAATAGCAGAAAGGGTTAAGGACACTTCCCTGAGGTGTCACCAGAGTAGAGGCCTGGGAAAGGATCCCCAGTCAGCAAGGGAAGGGGTCCCAAGTTATCTCCCCTTCCATCCAAAGAGGAAGGAGCCTGGGCTGAGTTTTCAGCCCTCCTGTATCACTCCTCTCACCCAGGGCTCCTGCTCTGGAGACTTCCAAACACCGATATAGGGGCCAGTGTGGACAGGGAGCCCATGGTCAGTCTCTTCCCCTCGCTGCCTTACCCCCTGCAGACTGCCTCACTGGAACTTCCAAATAGCCCTTTTTATATATATCTACTCTGTGGCCCTGGGCAGGGACCCCCGGGGCCCACCGACTGGCTTCCTCGCTCCTCTGGCAGCCCCTGCTCCTCAGCTTCTGCCCTGGTTGCAGTCGCCTCTCCTGGCACTTGCGGAGGTATGACCCTTGGACAGACCCAGTTCTCCTGGGGTTGGGCTCAGGGGTAGATTGGGAAGGATTTCTCCGCAACTCTCTGACTCTGCATCCTAATAAGGTAGGCTGCCCTCAGTCTGGTCCTTTTAGCAAAAGTGGGGCCTCTCTAACTTGAGGCCGTATCTTTTTGGCCACCTACCCCTCTGCCTTGTAGAAGGCTGTGGATCACCTCCCACACAGGCACACACTCCCACCCGCTTTTCTTTCCAAATGAAGCCATCTCGTGTCGTTACATGTGAAATACGAGGGTGAAGCGCCATATTTCTTCACATTATGGCGATTTCAAAATGATTTTTTAAAGATCAATGCCGGGGCCCAGCCGGTCCCCTCCTTTCCCACCCCTGCTCTCCGAGGGTGACAGCCCGGCAGATCCGTAACCAAACAGCATGAAGATCTGCCTTTTCCATAGGACTCAAGTGGGGAAACAAAAATCCGATGCAAATTCTTCCAAGTAGCTGTTGGACGTTTGGGAAAGTTGAGGGAGCTCCCCGGACTCACCAGCGAAAAAGCTGGGCGCTGAGCGAATGAATCACAGTTAAGGCAAAGCACCTGTTCTCAATTTGCCAGCCCTATGAAGTCTGTGTTGGCTTTACCTGTCATAAATATACTCTTCAAGAAAAAAGATTCCCTCCCCCGCCATAAATAATGGCTTTATGAAGCATGGCGGGCTGAGTATATGATTTCTGTAGTATATAAATTAGGGCCTAAAAGGACATGTGTACTATGGACTGGGGAGTTTTTATTTATGGAAAAGTCAGTGCTGGGCTGTCCGTAAGACCCAAGCAAAGCAGGCACTGGGCTCTGACTGCCGTCTTCCTGGTTCCCCTTCCCTCCCCTGCCCTGACTTTGCAGCTGCCTCTCTGCAACGAGAGGAGTCAAGAGGGCCACTCAGTTTAGGGAAGAAGTTAGAGGAAGAAGAACATTTGGGCTGATGGCTTGTGTTCTCCAAGGGTGAATTCTCCCAGCAGACAAGATTTGGGTTTGTGGGTTGCTATCTGCCTGAGGAGTTGCCCTTTATTCCCTGGTGGCTCCTGAGTCCTGGGTGAGGAGGGGACTCAGGCCTCTTTTCTGAGATCGGAACTTAGCCTTTGCTCACGAAGAAGCTGGAGAGTGGAGACAATTTTAAAATGACAGGTTTTGGAGGTCTTGGTCTTCTCAAGGAGCAATGACTCCAGAGGAAAGAGAATGAACTGGCCCCTAAGCCCTGTAGTCTGCATCCCAGCTCTTTACCCTCCAGGTAAATGCGCCAAGCAGGAGTCCTACCCCAGCAAGCTTTCTAGAAAGCACTGCTGCTCCAAACTGTAGTTCAACTCCAGCTCGGGCAAATGATTAAAGGGTCAGCTGAGAGCCTGTGGACTCCCTCCCACCAAAAAAGTCTTGTTTTCTCCCCAGACAATGGTACTCACTATGAAAGAGGACAGCAAACAGGATTGTGGCCCCTGGAGCCCAGCTTCTAAAGACACTTAATAGAGGGGTTGCTTCAGTGGGGGTCACTTTATCCTAAGAGAGTGAAATTGCTCCGTACCCCACCCCCAATCCTAAACAGAAAGAAGGAAAACCCTGCCTTCCCTTGCAGCCTTTTGCCATTCCCTGCACTGGAGCCTCGCCTGAACACAGCTGGGGCCAGTAGCTGGTAGCTTGGAGAAGGGCAAGCAGGAAAAAGCGGCAGCTCCCAGCCACACTGGGGCCCAGAGAAGCCAACAGCGAGGCCGAGGTTTGAAGAGCAGAGGCCGACCAGCCGGTGAGTGCCTGTGCTGTGGGGGTGACTTTTGGAAGGGTCCTTTTCAGTAAGAAGAGAGATAAAAGCTAGAGGAAGGGAAGGAAATGGGAGAAGAAAGAAAAACAGTAAGTGAGAATGGGGAAAAATAGTTTGTTTTTAATTAATAAGCTTAGCTGAAATGTATGCATGTTTTATGTAAATAGATGTGTGTGTCCTATATGTATATTTCAAATCAATATTTCTGTACGGGAAACCCAGTGTGCAAATGCACTGTGCTCTATACTGTGTATAGAATATGTAATAAATAAATCTGCCCAGCTATGAAACTTGATGTGCTTGGGTATTCGTGTATGCAGGTAACCCCTGTGAGTGATGGAGGTTTAAGATTCTGCTCATGTAAGAAGATCAGTTGCCCAAAAGCTTGTGTGTACATTTTTATAACCATCACACACCTATGGAAAAGCAAAAGCTTGGGTATTTGTGTACTTGAATTATGGCTATAAAATACTAGCTAATTCGGATGTCGCACTTGAAAATCTGTCCCTTGACTTGATATTCAAGCAAAATATACAGCGTATCCTCAAACAAATGCATATGACCTAATACTAGATAGATTCTACGACAACTTCTTTCCAAAATGTTTCTCTGGAAGGTAAAAGAAATGCTTCATATTGGCCCAGAAGAGGTTATGAAATTTTGTGACTTCTTTGTTGGACCATAAAATCCTTTACTGTGCTTCTTACCCAAGACCACAGGGACGATGTGCATTGTGTGATGCTTATTTCATGATAGCGATGGGTGCGGGGGTGGAGGCACAGTTACTTACAAGCACATGTGTCTCACAGAATTATGAAGCAGCAGTGGACAGAGATGAGCCGAGTGTGAAAGTGACTGTGGAGGTCAAGCAAAAGCACTGCTGTGTACAACAAAATTAGAAAAGTCCCCAAATCTATGTCCTCAAGCACCAGAGGTATTTTTTCTGACTCCAGATCACAGTCCAGACCCACTCTGGGAAAGAGTGAGGCATGAGGACACTTGTCCCAGTGGGAAAGGGCACAAGATCCCAGAATCCTTACCCTTTACGCAAAACAGCCTCCAAAACAGGTATCACATTGAATCTGCACACTCAGGTGCAAACCTCGGTGCTTTCATACCCCCCAAGTGGGGATCTTAATAGTGAAGTAACGAAATCTTCTGCCAAACCTCCCTCCCAGGATGTCAGAGGTGAAAGGAAGGACTGAGAGGTCAGTGGCCCAAGCCGACCTCAGGAATCTTCTTACCAACTCTCAGCCATCAAGGATATCCAAGGCGGTGGGGGTGGCTGACTCCTTGGGAGGGGGCATCCAGGAGGCCAAACGGGGTGGGCGGCAGGCAGGCGGAAAGGAGGCGAGCAGGTAGAAGGTTATTACGAAATTGCTTCCATAAAACCTGTGGCTGTTGTAAAACTCTGCTTTCCAAAGACTTTATTTCCTCCTTTCTCTCTAACATTCCCCTTTTTTCTTTTTACAGCACTTTTCCTGGGAGGGGGTGGCCAAGGGACGCCAGGGATGGAAGACAGTCAGGCTCTGAGTGACTGGGCAGGTTTGTGAGAGGCCCAGGGAGAAGTGAGATAAGGCTGCAGGGACGTGCCAGGCCATCTCCACCCAGACCAGAGGATGAGAAACTGTCAAGGGACAGAGTTGTTGGCCTTTGCTT